AATAATTTAAACTTATTTAATGTTTGATCAGTGTGGTTGCATAGCCACTTTGAATCATCATCTAAATTAGAAAAAAATTGTGAAAAAACTATTTCCTTTCCTCCTCGTGAGATTCACACTCCTCAAAAAGGTCGATTTCAATTCACTCATTTTTTTCGCTCTAGTTCAATTGGGTCTAAACGAAAATTTCAACATCTAGTTATGTTATGATTCTACACTAATGAGTGCTTTAACATTCAAACTTATACTAAATAATTCAAAGCCACTAGTTATCTAAACCAAAATATCAAATATAATTGCTTTTTTTTTTTTTTTTTTTTTTTTTTTTTTTTTTGTCTTTTTCAATAAAATCTAACATTTTACCTCACTCCCTTAAAGATCCTTTTGACCTTATTGCGAGTTTTAGGTCGATCATTTCTAGATTGTTTAGGCCAAGGGGGTTACGAGATATCCCAATAGACTTCATAACTCGAGTAAAAAAAGCTACAAAGTGAGGCCTAAGATTCAAGTGCAATATCATTCTTTTTTAAGCACAACAAAGCGACATGGGGCTTAGATTTCTGGTGTATGATCATTACCTAGTCTATACTTGGCTAAGGATAGTCCACATGGTGTATGATCATTACCTAGTCTATACTTGGCTAAGGATAGTCCACACAAATATTTTTAACATGTATAGAATCAACATACTTCGAGACAATGTCCTTCACTGGCTCCATCTCCAAACTTATCTCACAATATAATTAAGTGAAGAGAAGTGGATATGAATTGATGTAAACTTTCAAGCAACTCATAACCTAGTTCTATCAATTCAAAACTTTCTCCATCAATCAAAAATCTATACATCTAAATAACAATTAATCATGATTATTGTGCTCAACAAAACTTTGGATCTCTCATGAACAAGCAATTTTTTTCAAAAAAAATGTAAGCACAAATAGCATATTTGGTCATAGCTCATGAATCAACAATTATTTTATCTAGCATATCATCACAATCACAACAAAATAACCACAATCATCCCTAAACTTAAATCACAAATTGTTCTCAATGTGTAAAGAACAAAATAAAATGTAAGAAGGGGATTAATGAAACTTTCTAGGTCGGATATTTGGTGAAGAGGTACCAATGCTTGAATTGGACTTGTAATGTTTTTGATGAACTTGGACAAGTCACCTTCTTGTACAATAATTTGCCTCCAAATTTGTTAAGAACCATGAAATATATATAAAAGTAAATAAAAAGCTTAAAAGTTAGAAAATTGGGTTGCCTCCCAATAAACACTTTTATAGTTTTTAGCTTGACTTTGACTATTAATCATGGACACCTAAAAAAAGTTTTGGATGCCTGGCCGGTTTTTCTTCGTTTGGCTTTATTCCACTCTTCATTGGATCTCCCAAACTTAACATTATCCCTTTCCATATAATAGGACTTGCTTATTCCATCCAATTCAAATTCAACTAAGAAGATTTCTATCTCCTCATTGGACTTAATCATAAAATCAAGAGCTTAGCAATCAACTAAGTCAGAAAAATGTAAGTTGATTTCTCCTCACTGTTAGCCACATCCTTATTTAGCTACGTTGTGATTCATTTTTACTCATTATAAATTCTTCGATGGTTAAAATCTCATCGAGTTGAATGATTGGTCTTCAATCAAACTCCATGGACAATGGCAAGCTTTTTCTATTAACTCAATCGAGTGGATTATTCCCCACTTTTGAAATAAATTCCAATATCAATAATCTCCCACAAGTATGTTATCCACATCCAACTTGGCAAGTTCATTGTAATATTTTCCAAGTACCTTTTCGTTCAAAAATGGAGGACCATCTCCTGAAAATTTGATGTCTTCATCCTAATCGTCAGGTACATAATCTTCCATGAGCATGTAATTATCATCAAAATTGTCTAGGACTTGTTTTTGACGTTTCAAATATTGTCTAAGTCTTCGACATTGAGATATCGATGCACGAATACAAGCATTGTCCTATACAATGCATCGCTTGACAAATTTCACATCTTGAGCCTCCAAGCATATATCCATAGCAAATGTAGATATTAGACACTGCAAAAATATTTAGAATAATACAACAAAAATATTCAGAATAATACAACTATAGCCAAAAAGTACAATTAGAAAATATCAACACAAGATAGATAAAAATATTGGGGTTAGCCAAAATATACAAAAATTAAAGCAATTAAAAATAAATAAAAAGAAATTGTGAAAACTTTTAACTAAAGTAATAGTCAAAGTAAAGTACTCTTTAACAAAAGTGCCAAAAACTTGTTCACTAAGGAAGTGCAAGACAAGTGCATGGGTCGCGTTAAAGTAATGATGTGGATTTTTTGAGTGCGAGTTCTTAATAATTCGATGAATGTTTACATTCGATTACACAATTTTAATCAATTTAATTTTAATAATAAAAACAAACACACAATAAGATTTGATTTTGGAAAATAAGGAAAAGTAATTAAAAATCTATAAAATAAGAAAACATAATAATTGGGATTTTTGGAGGAAAACGTAGATGGAATTCACAGTTTCGCATAATCGTCACATAATTAATTTCTCCACAAGCAAATTAACAAATTACTCAATTACGATGTTGGACCCGAATTTTTGAATTTAGTTAATTAGATCTCTCGAGCAAAATTAACTCTAATTGATTAGTTTAACCTAATATTTCTTTATGGCAATTAAAATCAAACAATCATATTATTTTTTGTGAAAATAGCTCAATGGATCACCTAGAATTAAAAATATATCTCTATCCCTATAAGAATCTAGGATTTTTACTATTTAGTCTAAAATGTACAATATTCTCTTTAATGATATACATATCACTAAACGCAATCACATATTGACCATATTAATGAAAATACAATAATAACGATAGTGAAAACACATGAACATAAGTAATTTTAATATTAAATAACAAGCATTGGAATTAATAAAGTTGGATTAAACTACAACCATAAATCCTAACACAAATATTTGGCCTATGTTATATACATGATAAAAAGGAAAATATTTATAACAATACATTACAAGTTTGGCAAAACAATGGAGAAAATACAAGATTATGGAAAACACCATTTTTTGGTTGGATTTGTGAAAATGAAAATGGTTAGATCTTGATTTTCCCAAAGTTTCTCTAAACTCCTTTGATGGATTCCTCTTGTGCCCTTCCAAAAATTACAAGTGAAAATGAAGAGAAAAAAGAAGAAGAAGAAGAAGAAGAATGAAGAATGCACTAGAATGGCTGAATTTTGGTATTTGAAGGGCCAAAAATCGTCTTAAGCAAAATTACAGAAAGATCCCTTCATTTTTTTTTTTTCACAAAACAGGCAAAGTTACCCACCCTGATGAACTGGGCGACCACCCAGCTTTAACTGGGGCAGTCGCCCAATTCAGCTGGACAGCTCTGCCCGCTTGCCTCACTCGGCTCCCTTTGTTCCTTCTCTGATTCAATCCTCCACTATTTGCATGACATGTCCATTTTGAAAGTCCTTTTTCTTTGCATTTTAATTTTAGGCAAAAGTATTTATCAAATTTGTCAATCTTTAGGTTATAATAATTTTGAATGTTCTTATCTCTCTCTCTCTCTCTCTTTTTTTTTTTTTTTTAAAATGGGAAATTACAGTTGTTAAAGATTTTAGTAAACCTAATGATGTGAGATAAGGTACAATCTTGAATTGTTGATGGTTGTGATGATAAGGAGGTTAACAATGATATCTTACCATATACAAGAGAGAATTGAAATTCTCGAGTTGAAATAACAGAGCCCGATGAAGATAATTTTGCATTAGAAGACACGAAAAATGATTTGAATGAAGAGAGGAGATTGAATTGGAATTGGATAAAAAGGTACATGAGATTTAGAATTTTTTAAACTCGATATTTGAGTAGAATCTAAATAAATGTATTTTGAAAATTTGAATAATATGTATAAAGTTCAAAGAATGCATTATTTTATTTATTTTTAGTTTAAAATATTTACAATAATATTAAAAATTGAAAAACGCATAATTACATGTATGCTTCACATGGGCACGCATATACTTATAATGTTTGATGTTTAATCAAAGTAAATTGTCATGCATTAAGTTTTTTAAATGCGTTTTAGAAACTTGCTATTTTTTAACAACGGATTGATAGGTCCATTGCATGAACAATAAATTGGTGGGTTTGATTCTCATTTAAATTGGTATTAAGTTCCCGTTTGATGTTAATTATTTGTTCAAAACAATATTTTGAATAGTGAATTTTTGAAAAATATGTAGTTAAAAAGTAGTAAAATTTTTTGAGTTTTCATGAGGAATATTTTATTGTATTATTGTATGGTTGAAAATGAATGTGTAGATTAAAAAGTTTTGAAATAATTATTGTCAAAATCATGACACTAAACAGCCTGTTTGGGAGGGATTTTTTATTCCAAAAAATTGATTTTTTGACATTTATTTCACTATTTCACCAGTAATTTTTGACTTTTTCTCTCACAAGTGGACCCCATTTTTCTTCTAACGATCAAAAATCAATTCTCAAAATCCCTCCCAAACGGGGCAGCCTAAGAGTCCATTTGTTACGGATTAAAATATGATTTTAATTTAAATTAAAGTCAAACAATTAATATTAACCAAATCTTTTATGTGTCCCACAACTTTTCAACCACACATTTTAAATTTTTTTAACATGATCTACTAAAAAATTTAATTTTAATTCCCACCCAACACCCTCTAATATAGTAAATGCATAATTCATGCCAGCGTGATAATTTGACAATCTGCCTATCTAAAAACGTTTGAATTTCAAATTTTTTTAAAATTTTGTCCTCACAAATCAGAACGTTAGACACTAACCCCTTTCTAACACCCTTAATCGCAATTTTACCCTTCACTTTCCCTCGTGTCACGCAAAATCTTTCCTCAATTAAGGGGCAAAACAGGGATTGACGCCTCTTAGATAAGCCAAAATCCAGTGTCCCGAAATTTAACCTATTGAAATGTTAGCTCCCTCCGCCCCCCTTCACACCAAAATTTTCGCTCATCTCTTCAGTCGTCACTATAAAATGCATAAACTTTGCACAGAAATCGAAACCCACTGATTACAGAAGAGAAGAAATCAGTGCTTTTATTCAGGAAATATGAAGGCTTCAATTAAGTTTAGGGAGGAGCAAAAGCCCGTTTTGAGAGCCAAAATCCCAATAAACATTCTGAGTTTCCCATTCCAATCAGGAATTGTGGCTGGTGAATCAAAAGAATTATCTCTAAATCTCAGCACTTTCTTTGAATCAGGGCCTTCATTCAAATTCTCATACCGTCCCAATGATTCTCATAATCCTTTCAGCTTCATTTTCAAGACTGGGATTGGGTACTTTGGGTCACCCAATAAAAGCCCTTTAACCATGAGCGCTGAGTTTAATTTGATTGGTAATCAGAATCCCAGTTTCTTCATCCATTTTAAACCCAATTTGGGCGATTTTTCTGTGAAAAAATCTCATTCTTCGAGGTTTGTGAATGGTTTGGGCGACAAATTCAACGGTGCTGCTTTGCCGGGGGAGAATTTCCTGGACAACGGATACTTTAAAGGGAATGGGGCAACAGGGATGATCAAGGGAGCGTTGAAGGGTTCTGAGATTAGCGCTAAAACGGTGTTGCCGGTGCGCGATTTGGCGGTGGTTAATTTCCGGTGGGGCCTTAGGGTTCCGTGGGCTGAAGTGTCGGCGGAGGAAGTCGACGGTGTGATTGTGGGTAAGAAGGATGATCGGGCGGCGTACGGGATTAGGCTGCCGCAGTTGATGATGAACAAAATTGGAATCGAACATGTGGTTAAGGATGGGGCGGCTAAGGTTGAACCCGGGGGAAAGGATGGTGACGTGGTAGGGGTGTGTTTGGATGTTAAGAGACAGCTTGAATTAATTCAAGGCGAGAATGCGGTTTTAAGGAAGGCTTTGAATGATTTGAGATTAGATATAGCTGCTGGAAAAATGAAGATATTTCCTCCATTGGAGGGAGAAGAAAATCCTGATACAAGGAGGAGGACAGAGGAGCCATTGCCAAAGCTTGCCTAATTAAATGGCTGTCTCATTTAAAATTTAAAGATGTCTTTGTTTCCAATGCATTTATGCTCGTTTTAAGAAAATTCTTGGTTTTCTGAGGTCTATTGTGTCTGGTTGGGGGTATATGAATGAATGAGGCTGTAAATTTTCTTTCTTGAATATTATTATATTTATTTATGTCTTGTTCTTGTGATTAGATTACTGAAGTGACATACCATAATGCCAAGAAACAAATAATTACAGTACTAACTTTTTAGTACCTTCAAATATATTAGTACATTTTCGATGAATAATGTTATTTGCAGTTACTAATTATTATAATCGTCCTATGTGACATACATATAGCGATAAGTGACTTGATGAATTAATGCGGTATTTTTTTTTTATTGTCTTATGCATCAAATCACTAAACGCTACATGTATATCACGTAAACTAACTGTGATAGTTAAGGACTGTAAATAACATATTATTCTATTGCAATTCTTGGCATATGAATTATCAAATAAACAAGGCCATAAATGATATGTAAATGAGTTTGTTTCTTCTGAGAATTTGATGGTAGGATAAGAAGTGTGGTCTTATTTCACCAGAGACACAAAAGCTTTATGTTCCCTCTTTCAAGTTGTGGACTAGAGAAAACTAAATTAAAATCTTTAAAAGTTTCTTGTCTAATGTTAAGAATTTTTTGGATAAAACGTCTTAATTGTGCTATCTACATATGGAAGAAATATCTTCATGCCATCTGCTGAATTGTTGTCAGTAGAACTTTTTTAATTGTCTTCTGAAAGTAGAGAGGACAAGGTGAAAATGGCATACCTAGTTGATGGTATATCTGATCGCAGAATTTTATGATGTCTTTATAATTGGACAATATTTTATTTTATTTTAGAAGAGCACTAAATTTACACATACTTTTGTACAAAATGATTTACTTACACTCACAATGGAAGAGTGAGGGCCCTATGTTGGCAGTTTTATTTCATGTGAAGCCCAAGTGTACGTGAGAGTGAGTAAAAAATTTTGTACAAATGTATGAGTACAAATATCTTTATCCTTTATTTTATTTTCAATCAGTGTGCCATATGAGCAGTATGATTGTTGCTTCTCCAGTTGTTCAGAGTATTATTTCATAGTTGTTTGAAAATGTAAGAATACTTCTGCCCTTAAATCAGTCCAATATGTAAGAATATATTGATCTCCCATCAGCCTGCTTCCGGAAAATAATGAATTCAGGACATGATATCACAATGGTCACTCATCCCAAAGTATCTCCTTTATTTGGACGTTAAAAGCTCCAATATACAGTTAAGAATAGAAATCCACGAAAAAGCCGATATACAGATTTGGGCATTACAATCTTCTACATACGATTTGCAATGTACAAGTTGGATAACACACTAATGACATACTTCTCAGGTTCTCTACACACTTTACACCATTCTAAAACTAAACATCATGCAAATCATCCATGGTTCTTTAACCTCTGACCATTCCCTTGATGTCATGCTTAAACTAAGGCAGATATAGTAGCTTACACACTACTCCCCTCCCGGGTGCCCATGCTAGGATGGATGCTCTCCATCTGATACGAGCAAATAAAATATAATAAGAAACTTGAAAATAGAAGAGAATGAATCTTGCATGCAAACTGGACTATTTTGTTCACTTTGCTAAAGCTATCAGCAGAAAACATAAAAGCCCCAGGCAACAAAAGCACAGATTCCTCCCAAAAACAGAAATTCGGTTGTTTATATTCCTGTTTCCATCTTAATTTCAGTTGCACATGGTGTGAAATGTATACATGAAAATCATGCCAACATGTGTTTTTTCGTATCATTAGATTCCAGAAACTTTCAGCAGTCACACACCCCACACCCACACACACAACACACACACAGAAAGCACTGTCTTCATTACCACTATCACACACATCCGCAAGTTTTCCAATCATCTCAATCAATGATCGTTCATGTTCCTGCATCACCAATTCCTGTAATCAGACCAAAAGCTACTAAACAATAATAGATTTTTTAGGACTCAAAAGTCATTATAAACCTTGAGCATTTTCTTAGCCTTTTCAATCTCAAGTTCATCAGGATGATTTGCATCAAGCACCTTTTCCACCTGCCATAGGAAAAGGGTATGAGCAAGTAAACTTACAAAGCAGCAAGATATTTTACAGTAAGATGCACACACCTTCTCTATCAATTTGTCTGTGTCAAGAATTTCAAATTTTCCCTCATCCTCCAAGGCGCTGTTTTGTGATGGCAGAATTTCAGTTGCAAATTGGTTCCCAGAGGGAACTCTCCCTCTTCCAGTGCTCGGAATGGTAACTACAGTGCCTTGTCCACCTGCCTCACCCAATCGAGATTTTACAGGATCATCACCCACCCATCTGATATCACCCTGAGGAATCTGAATCACCGTACAGTATTAAAGAATCATTTGTAACGAGGTTCCAGTATCTATCATCATCAAGTACTATACACTTGCTATGTAGTGATGAAAACAGCTAAAACGAATCATACTATCTGAAAAAAGCTTAAAATTAACTACGCATCTGAAAGCCCATGTAACTCCAGAAATCATCTACAAGCACCAAATAGGTTATGAACAAAACTTGTTGCGACTCTTAGCCTCCACAAGCAGTTATCTCATTTGTAAATTCTTACCCTGTTTGCCATGTAACTTCCACCCCACCCTCACCCTCCCAATGATACTCTTCTCCATTCTCATGAAAAAAGGGCAGACATTTTTAAGGATCATGGATACTTTTACCAAAAGACGGTGACAGGGTGCATTTGTAAGTGTACCAAAACTAAATGGCAGGTTTAATTGGAGGGGAAATAAATTATAGTAAAAACTTGTACTCATTTTAGGCAAGGGCAATGATGGGAAATAAAGAATTTAGATGGATTTTAGATATAATTTTAAAATATAGTTTAATTCAAATTATGTTTGTTTAGACTAGATTACTTTTGATATTTAAACAAAGTTCTAATTTATTAGTTCTTCTGATTTTAGCTTCTTTGTCCTATGTAAAGGAGGCTTATTCATTTATGATCATTTCATTAATTGGTTAGGAATAAAGATCGCATCATTGGTTAAGAAGTTACAGTCTATTTCGTCGGAATTGAGTTCTCTCGATAGGGGAGAAATGATAGAAAATGAAGATAAGAATAAAGATAAAATTTAAAAAGAATTCTAAAGTAAAATTTGATTCAAATTATGTTTGTTTAGATTAGCTTTGATATTTTAACAATGCTCTAGTTAATTAAAAGTTCTTTTGATTTTTGCTTCTTTGCCCTATTTAAAGGGAACTTATTCATTGTAATACTTACAATTTAATTATATGAAATAAATTGATTCCATCTCACTTAAATGCTCTCTATTCTCTCCCTATTCTTCTTTTTTCATTTAACCGAATTCATTACATGCAAAATATCTAATTTAAATTTTTAAAAGTTACTTTCATTTACTTCTGCTATTTTGGTCATGGAGGTGTATAAAAGTCGATCAATTAAACGCCATGGTCAAGTTGCTTGAGCTTAGAACTTGGATAGCTCGACTCAATCGTTGAGTTAGTAACATACTAGGTTGACTTTTTATGAGCAAAATGGTAGACCGAGTTTACAAACACAAGAAGAATTAAACATTTTAACAACTACCATAAACAAAGTAAACATAGTAAAGTAACTAAGAAGTACAGAAACTTTGGACAGTGAAAGCAAGAAGAGGCAACAGAATCCCGGATATCACCCATTCTTTGAATGAAGCAGTGTCCATGAAACATCAACAAAGTCCAGGAAAGGACGTAAATGGAAGAAAATGATTTGGGATTGTAACGTTTAACAGGCCGTTTGTAGCAGAATTGTAAAGGTGCGCCATTTTTCACTCTCTCTTTAACTCAGTCGTTTTCATAGTTTCCTCTTTCAAAACTTGGTTCTTTTAAGGTTCTTTAAAAACCAATCTTCTCAAAAACATAATGCAATAATTCTTGGTTTAGTTTTTGAATATGTCCAGAAGTATAAAGGAAAGCAGCAAGAGATAACACGAGAATTTTTTGAGACCATTTGAATATCTATCTAGACTGGTATAATTTCGATTTTGTCATTTTCTCTCGTCTGATCATATAATTGAAATTATTGTTTTACCATGTATAAAATATAAACATTAAACTCGACAAAACTTTTCAGAGACATTTTAGGTGCTTGTTATAGTCAAATTATTTTAAAGAGGTGGGTTACACTCATACAGATATTAAATTGCATTTCGTGTTAAGTACTCTTGTCACTTTTTATTTTTTATTTTTACACATAATGGCATTTAAAGTAAGATGGGCTGTTCAGAATGGACATTCAACTTTTATAACTTACAAAATCAATCAAACATTGCTATTGTGCTTTTGAGTTTATGCGCAAATCAAAATAATGATGCATGTCCGGGAGGCCCTCAAACTCAGGAATCCAAAATGAACTCTTAAATGTATTTATAGAAGAGTTGATGAACTACAGCACTACAGTAACTTCAAATGTATAGGCAAGAAACTTTTAAGCTGACAGGAACAACAGAACATACCTCTTTGAGATGCACCCACTCCAAGGTTGCATTTGGTGTATTGATATCATAAACTAAAGAATGGCGACCCTGAACAAACACAAAATTAGGAAAAACAAGAATTGAATTTGAGAAATTTGCAATTGCTTCATCATAGTCCCCTGGTCAACACATGGATAACACATCCTTCAATGTAAACCTAATTGATGTGGAAGAACAAACACAAAATTAGGAAAAACAAGAATTGAATTTGAGAAATTTGCGATTGCTTCATCATAGTCCTCTGGTCAACACATGGATAACACATCCTTCAATGTAAACCTAATTGATGTGGAACGGAAAATAGAACAGCATCAAAGATAACACATCCTTTAATCAACATCACTAAATATCAGTAAATCAATAGTCTACAATCTACATAGTTCAAAACAACTAGTCCTATTTATAGTAGTTATTGAAACCGGACCAGCTAGTTTTGACAGTTGAACCAGCCTACGAGCACTGTGATCTTTGTTGGGAAAAATTCATGTCTAAGAGTTTAACTATGACTTATTTCAAAACTAAAAAATCAAGTTCAAAATTTCAAAAACCAGATATTATTTAATTTTATTTATGAAATAATTAATTAAAAAAATATTTTATTAATTAAATATATTAAAGTTACAAGCCAATACAATTTGGTTACAAATTATTGAATTAATTAAGTACCAATTATTTTTTGGTCACAAATAAAAATTTTATAGATTAAAAATTATTTTTAGGTTACAAATAAAAAATTTAATAGATCACAAATGTTTACTCGATCACAAATCAAAAATTTTATAAGTCACTTTATTCATCGGTCACAAAATCAAAACTTTCATACCAATCAGTCATAAATTATCAAATTAATTGATCACAAGAATTTCTCAATCACAACTTAATAAACTGCAAGTTATGATCATATTTTTTAGGTCACATCATTATTTATTGGTCACAAGCACCTTATCCCATCCACCCACGACCACTGCAGGACCACCACCACCACCTTCACCAAACCGTGCAAAACCACCACCACAGCAATCACCACACACCACAACCACATTAATGCAAACCCACCACCATAGTAACCACAATACCATTACACACCAAACTCCGGCACCATTATCGCCGCCACCAAGCACTCGGCGTGATGTCTAGGTTACTGATGACAAAATCAAGAAAGGCAAAGACTATGTATACTTAATTTCAAACCAATCCAGACGCCTAAAACTAATCAAATGATCAAATATACCGTAAGAGAATAAGTTTTTTGAAACTAAAATTGTTGATTGAGTTCGCTTCAAAAGCGAGTGAGTTGATAACATGTGTGACTACAAAGGAAGAAAAAAGGCCCCTATGGAGTTTGTAAAATTAGATATATATTTTTTATACATGTTTTGCATTAAATTACTATTTAGAAGGAAAAATAAATAAATTTAACGGGTAATCGGTTTGGTTTGGGGCGACGGCGTAAATACCATACCTGCACCGCCCCGAAACGGGTCATTAAAATCAAATACCATATCCGCCCCGTTGCACTATCGGTTCGATTTTTTCACTCGGTTCGATTAACCATAGTTTTCAATTTTGACGGTTAAATTGACATCCTTACAAGTCGTGAGTGCTATGCGCACGAGTAACCACCACCACCACCACCAAACCACCTAAAAAAACTACCACAAAACCACCTCAAAAGCACTTGTGACCACTGCTACGCCATCACCTAACGACTACCGCTTGATCCATTACCATCACCACCGCCACAACCACCACCAACACAAACTAACCCAACCCATAGGTGCTGCCATCACCACCGCATTACCATCGCCAACATCATCACCACCACAACCACCAAAACGCACCCCGAAACCACTGTAGTAGTCAGAGCCATTCCCACTTCCCCCACCACAGCCACCAACAAAATTACTCAATAAACCAGATCCAAAAAGCAACGTCATCTGCGCAATGACCGTTGTGGCGGAACCGCAACGGCAGCTGTCACAGTATTATCGTTGCTGCTACAGCGATAGCCGTGTGCGGCTTTATGGAAATGGCTGACAAAGCTGTGCACACGCACAGTGCTGCTTCTCGACATATTTCGACGGTCTTTTCTTGTCTTCCGACGGCATTGCTAAATGTGTGAGGAAAAAAAATAGAGAAAGAATGAGGAGAGAGAGATGAGGGAAGAAATAATTATGTTTGATAGGGTGAATAGGTAGATTAATTTTATTTTATAATATTGTTTATTAATAGTAAAATTTTGAATTATCAACTGAATTTTGAATAAAAAACTTTTAAATAAGATTTTTGAATTGAAAAGTTAAAATACCTATTTTTGGAGTAATTTTCACATCTTTATTTAAAAGCACAAGACAATTACCCAAACAAAGCCCGTTTAAACAGGTTCGGGTTTAATAAGTTCAGTTAATACTCAAGTTCTAGCATAAAGGTTAAGTTTTAACTTTTAAATCTATCAGAATTACACAGATCTATAAAGAAACTTTTACCAGACAAAACATTGAAGTTTCCAACTCTACTTTCCGGTCTCTCTCCCTTTTTCATTGTAATCTCCATCTCTCTTGCTTAGTTTCTCCTTTAATTCCTTTTTATTTGCATGTTCTTTTCTATCATTCTGTACGTACAGTTGATAACAACTATGTACAAAATACGATCCTGTGGTTGTATAGTTTTTAATATTTAAATTCGATTGTTGCTCTTGTATTCAATAAAAAGATAATTTCACAGACTACAATTACAAATCTGTGTTTTATTTGTGTACCCTGCAAACACAGTAGGTAATGGATATAGCCTGTATTTCATGATTCTCTTCTCTGCTTCAGTACACATGCGAACCATATATTTTATTACAACTACTATTTTTCTAGATTAAGTCATTTTATTCAACTTGGACACATTTTTTAAGTTAGGGTAATTTGTAGAACAAACGGTGGAGAAATGCTATTCAGATTTTATTGAAATGGTCAGGATCCCTTTCTCTTGGAATCCAGAGGAACAAGAAGTAGGAGGGGAATTTAAATAAAGTGTTTTTCACCTATTCACAAACCAAATGCTGCCATTATTTCTGATAGTAAGAGTTAAGGCCGGTCATATTAGACAGGTCCCAAAAAATGCAATTTACACTTAAAAGCCCTAGCTAAAATGAAAAGTTATGTAATCACAACATAAATCTAATAAATATGGAAGTGAAATAAGTCAAATAGAAGAAAATCATTCATAATTATAATCTATTTCATGTTCTTTCCCTAAAACAATAGTGTATATTTTTGCCATGTTTCAAATGTCAGTTCCATCACATGCTTCATCGCTTATTCACAGCAATGTTGCATCCCCAATTCCCCTATGGACAATCATCAATTACTACAGCTGGTGAAACACACACACACAAAAAAATAATTTGTGAACTCTGATGGAAGAATTATGCTAAGTAAAATTATAAAAGCAAATGCTTCTTATATAAAAAGAATTAATAATACCAAGTACCAACATGGACGAGCTGAAGTATACAACATGGCCAAGTGTATCAAAATATTAACTACAGTGATCATCCATTTATCATAGTATGTAAAAGAGAAGATAAGTAAGGAAGTTTTGTTTCTCACTAGTGAGAAGGCAATGGTGATTCCCTACATAATGTACAGCACCAAAGGGTACAAAAGGGAAAACAAATCCCATACTCAATACATTTATTATTAATTTTTAAAATCCTACACTTCCTTAATTGTATCGTTTTCTTGTAAAAGAATTTAAATGAGATCCATTCTTCACCTTTGTATTTCCCATCCATGTCAACACATAGAGCATAAAATAGCAATTATTTTTTACTCTAGTTTAAGGCATATTCGACCTACTAAACCCGCATTAAAATGATCCTTCAACTAAGGAACCAAAACAAAAACAAAAAAAAGGAACGTACATCTTCAGGATTGTAGTCAGTTATGACAGCTTCATAGAAGTTGTTATCTTCAGGCCACCTCGTCATCACCCTCCTACCAATTAATGGATCATGGTTACTTTCGGCAAGGTCATTGGTTGAAGGCGCACCAGATGAACCAAGGTTGTTAATCTGATATTGCATGGGCCTTTGGGTTGAAGCTTGCTGGCCCTATAAAAAAGAGGAGATAATAGAAAGATGAATGAAAAGTTAGATTAGCATCACAAATATCCATATTTTATATTCAAACATACGGCATAAGGCCTTCTGCCACCCATTACTAAAGGAGGTCCCCATTTCCCAGCCGAAGTCGATGGCTGTGTGGTAGCAGGCTGAGGGTGTAATGACTGAGATGGCATCCCAAATGGATTTCCTGATTGTGATGTCTTCTGCTTCTTGCGAGATGCTGACACTGTGGGACTGGGTAGTTGATCGTTAATGTGCTGAGGGACATTGAAGGCTACATTGTGAATCCCACCAGCTTCTCCCCATTCCCTGATTCTACGAATGAGATCATCTGCATTGACCTTGGTAAGTAGATCTCTGTGCTCGTCATCTGACACCCTTAGCTCCTTCCTTAGTTCTGTTATCAGACCCTCCTTCTCCTGAAGATCATGACATATTATGAAGCATCAAAACGAAATAAGCAGCTTCCAAACATCCAGGAAAAGAATAAAGAAAGCAACATCACATACCCATGTAAGGGCATCAGACTGTGCTTTGAAAGCTTGTAGGACTGCAGCATATGCTATTTGCTCCAGGTTATGGATTTCAGACTCCATATCAGTCGGCATTCTTTGATATGGAGCTGAGCCTACAAAAGATCTTCCATTTACTGCTACACGACCTCCCACTGGAACTCTATTATATTGTGGCTGTGGATGATCATCATCAGTGCCTGCACTTATTTCAACAGAAAGGGCTTAAATCCACGAGAAAATGATAACATATTATCAAGAAAAGTAAAAATAATTCCATTTTCTAGCATATATTTTAACTAAGTATTTGCAATAGCTGATAGAAGGAACATTGTTCATTCATTGCTCCTCCATCACTCGCCAAACAAAGCCATACTGATAAATAGTCTGGGTACCTTCTAAATCTGAATTTAGAACACTTATACAAAAGAAAATGATGAGTGAACTGTAAAATTGATTAATGAGAATAAACCTTTTCCGTAGATGTTTTAGCATCTTTTCCTTCCTCTATTAATTTTGACGTAAATATGATCACTATAGACAATAAGAAACTCTCACAGATCCTAATAAACGGTGGTAATGAAAACCTTAAGTTCATGTTCTCCTCAAAAATGAAGCATAAAGAAAGATCTCAAAAATTACAATAATTTTGGAACCTTTCATGCATAATACAAACATTCAGTAACAAACTAAACCCTTGAGAGGAAACAATATCTTACCTCCGGATACTGAAAGCTACTCTAAAAACTTGAATTAAGCTCCTCGTTCATACATTCCAAACGAATCTCCAAATATCCACTGATGCAAACCAGCTTAAAAATTGTGGTCCCATGAACTAAAATCTCACAGAGACTAATTGGAAGTCGAGGGGCTAGATATTCTTTTTTTCAAGTTAATAAGTAGAATTGCAGAAACACATTCCTAAAAACCCTAAACCATAAAAATCATAAACTCTAGGTTTAATTTCGAAGAATTCCAAGAATTTATTATGAAACTCTAAAAATCGTCAATTAAAAAATCATAGCATCTAAAATGATTATGCATAAATCGATGTAACATTAATTAACAAATTGAACAATAAAAAATAAATCTCAATTCTAAGACTCACCACTGCTATCGTTATCTCGAAACGCCATAAACAGAAATTGCTATGGCAAATTCGTATGCACTTGTATAGTTATATAGAAAGAATTATGTACAGCCCGCTTGGTGCTTTTCAGACATTTCTACGCATGTATGCAACGGCGAGAAATTGCCGGGAAGGACGGAGATTTTGGAAAAGAAAGGGAGAGGCAGGTATTTATATACCCTCCCGAGGACGAGAAAAACAAATTGCAACCACTTTACAGACTTGTCATTTACCTCGTTAAAATACAGTTGGTCAGAAAACGATTTCAAATTTGGGCCCTAAACCCACATGATTAAAATGATTAATTGACAAAAGTAGCATGAGGAAATTAGGCAGTGTACCTATACAAATAAGGATTTTGATTTATACCTTTTAAATTAATTAAACATTTTAATGCAGTATTTACGTTCTAATTATTAACTAAAACTCTACCCCCTTAAACAATTTTGATAGAAACCACTCTTATATTCAAACTAGGGACAAAGCTAAGAAATTTTTTTAGTGCAGGCATAATTTAATAAAAGTAGAATTTTTTTATCATGGATTTAATGATGTTACGAGAACATTAAAAATGACATAACGACAACACTAAGATGATGATCTCTTTTCCTTAATCTAGGATTAGTAAAAAGTTGTGCAACATCAAAATCTACTTTATTTGATATCTCCCTATCAATAATTATTACAAACGATTTTCTTTAAAGGAATCTCTCCAATAGAGATTCACACTAAAATAAACCACAAATGTCTCAATAGGATTAAATATTTAAAAATCTAGTAAAATGTTGGACAAAATTTTTTAAAATTATTTTAATACAATAGTAAATGATCTATTGGCATAACACATATACATAATTCCTAAACACGTTATAACAATAATATTTTATGTCTCGATGGTCGGAGTTGGAGATCCAGATATTAATAGATGCTCTTTGTCTCACATGCTAGTTAAAGACCAGGAAAGTGTAAAACTGAAAAGCAATAATATGCAAAAGTACCAGAACACAAACATCGGTGTGGTTGCTTGAAAAACACTCCGACAAACAGTTAGAGGAGTTCCACAACGTGCCAATTAGATAATGATGACAAATCCATAGAAAGCAGCAAAGTCTTTAACTCCTCTCGGAGTCTCTGTAAATCAAGCATATGTGGCATTGGCAAGGACGAAAGACAAGCAAATAACTTCTATATGCAAATTTTGGAAATTAGCTTTCCTCACGATATCAAGGAAATGTTATAGGGTTGGAAGTCTACAACCTTTGGAATTCTTCATAGCTATGTAAATAGTAAGAGAGGGGAAGAAAAAGAAGAACCCTATCAAATGCCAATTAGATAATGATGACAATTAGAGAAGAGTTCCACAATGTGCCAATTAGATAATGATGACAAATCCATAGAAAGCAGCAAAGTCTTTAACTCCTCTCGAAGTCTGTGCAAATCAGGCATCTGTGGCACTGGCAAGGACGAAAGGCAAGCAAATAACTTCTGTATGCAAATTTTGGAAATTAGCTTTCCTCAGGATATCAGGGAAATGTTGCAGGGTTGGAAGTCTACAACCTTTGGAATTCTTCATAGCTGTGTAAATAGCAAGAGAGAGGAAGAAGAAAAAGAACCCTATCAAATGCCTGCAAATGGAAAGAAATAGGAATTCAAATGTCTAGGTTTTGATTTAGGAAATGGGTCGGTATAATGGGTTATAATTTTTTCTCTTGGGTTTCCATTTTTTCATCTTGGGTTGAGGTAAACTGAAATATAGACTGTAGACAAATGAAAAACCCACTACTATAAAAAATTAAAGGAACTGAGTGAATGGCTCCGTCGCAAATTCAAACACTCCTACTCTCATCTCATTTTACCCATCTACAAGAAAGTGACTTCAAATATCTATTTAATTTCTGTTGATTTCATCTATGTATTCCTCCATCCACGTTCAATTTCAGCCTTTCTCCTTCTCATTTCGTGGAGATCTTAAACACCACCCTAAAAATCCCAAATAGTCAAAACCTTAATCCATTCCGATCAAAATCCAGAAATCTGAGTCTGATCTTGACTTATTCACTTTGATGCCGATTTTAATACCAAACTTCGACTCCTATTTCTACAATGACCGGAGAAAGTGGGTTGAAGAGGAAAAAAGATATTGATGAAGAACAATCTTTGAAGAAGAAGAAATCTTAAAAACACAATGTAGCATTAATTTTTTCAGTTTCCACTCTTCCTTTCCGATTTTGATATTTTTCTGATTTTGGTATTTCATATATGACTTTTTTTTGTTCTGTTCCCTACCTTTTGCTTTGTGTAAAATGAAATATGTGTAAAAACGTCTTTTATTGAGATGCTTTGGTGATCTTTGGTGGGGAAAAATATGTTGATGTGCCTATCAAAAAAGTGATAAGACAGTGGAAAGAAGTGAAAGGGAACTGAAAAAGTGATGCAGTTGAAATAAATTTGAATGAGGAAATAGAATTTCATAAGATGATTGGTTAAGAGTTGATGATATTGCTGCTTATAGTTTAGCAAAAAATCAAGAAGTACTTATTTTTTCATTTTGTTATTTTTTTCCTCGTAACTTATGTTTATTTTTACGTCAATATAATTTGAATTTGTATTTGTATTATTGTTCATGCTCTAGCAAGTTGCATCACCATCTAATAAAGACAGAATTGAATAGGACAAGTAGTTTGAATTGAAAAATGAAGTTTAGGGAAAAGTTGTGTAAGATGTAGCTGTGATTGAAGCTGAAATTGGAATTGAAGAGAGAAATATTGAAACTATTGATATTGATAATAATATGACCCCAAACATGCCCTTGAAAATACAAAAGAAACTTGGAGTGTTTCTTCAATCACTCTAGGTCAATGAATATGATTCTATATGGGGACTAAGAAGCGTGTTGTAGAAGGCAATTTTGCATTCCCAGTTGGTGTTGGCCCTCTAATGGCATATGATGTTGATGTCTTTGAGCTTTGATTTAACAAGGGATTGATAAGAAAAAAAATAAGTAAGTTGATGCTAATATTTGTTATTTGTGAATTTTTTCCAATAAAGTGACATGTCATGTGACTTTTTGCATTATGTTATGTAGACACAAACATTTCAATGATGAAAATTCTATTATCAATCCCTACTTCTTTTTTAGTGATATTGCAATATCTACAAAATCGTGGTAGTATGAATTGTTTACTCCAAATAAATGTTTGGAAAATACGGTAAGTTATTTTATTTGTTCGTGTTTTAAGATTCTTTAGTATAATTTTTATTACAATTGTTGATTTTGTCAGTTTTTCCCCCTTTTTGTAGCATATTGATGTGTGTTTCTATTATTTGAGGAATGTTAGAAAACAGAGAAAAAGTATGAAAACTGGAGAATTAGAAGAAATATGAAAACTGGAGAATTATATTTCTGAGTTGTGTTTATAATACAATGTGTACGCTCTATTTATACAAGATAGTCTATGCTATAAAATGAGAAAGATACAATAATTCCTATAATTAAGCAATCTGTAATCCCCATAATTAAGGAATCCCATTAATTATGCTACAATCACACAAATTATGCTAACACCTCCCCTCAAACTCAAGATGGTATTGTAGATGTCATTTTGAGTTAGCATACTAAGTCGTGAAAACGCCCAGACATGTGACTTTTGGTAAAGATATTAGTCTGATCAGAGGAAGATACATATTCTAAATGGAGAGTACTAAGAGTAACATGATGGCAAATAAAATGACAATCAATCTCAATATGTTTAGTGCGCTCATAAAACACATTATTATGAGCAATTTGAATAGTGCTTCGATTGTCACAATGAAGAGCAATAGAAGATGAGTGACAGAGACCCATATCTTCTAATAAACGACAAAGCAAAAGTAACTCCGCAGTACCATCTGCAAGGGTACGATATTCTGACTTTGTACTAGAATGAGCCGTGACAGTCTGCTTCTTGCTGAGCTAAAAAATAAGTGAGTTGCCCAAAAAGAAACAGTAATCAGCGGTAGAACGACGATCTGTAGGATCACCAGCCCAATCTACACCAGAATATCCAGATAGTACTAGAGAAGAGTGAGATAAAAAATAAAGTCCATGAAAGAGAATCCCCTTCACAGAGCGAAGTATCAGAAGAATAGTAGAGAAGTAATGTGCGAGGAGCGACCATAAACTGACTGACCAACTGAATTGCATAGGCAATATCAAGCCCGTGTCACAGTTAAATAGACTAGGCTCCCAACAAGTTGGCGATAAAGAGTAGGATCCTCGAGAAGAGAACCATCCATAGGAGTAAGCTTGACATTTGATTCTAAAGGAGTCAAAATAGTCTTAATGTCTGTGATCCCAGCTCGAGAAAGCAAATCAGAAGCATACATTGCCTGCGAAAGATAGTAGCCATCTGAGTTGGATAAAACTTCAAAACCCAAGAAATAACTTAGAGGACCAAGATCCTTCATCTCAAATTATTGATTTAGATACTGTTGTAACTGTGAAATGCATGTTGCATTATCACCAATTATTATCATATCATCAACATAAAGAAACAGGATAACAATGCCATTATCAGTACAGCGAATAAATAAAGCAGAATTATGTGGACAAGAAATAAAACTAGACTGAGTAATAGTGGAACTGAATTTGGCAAACTGGCTTGTGGTACTTGTTATAACCCATACAAGGCACGTTGAAGCTTACAGACTTTATTAGGAGGATGAGATAATCTAGGTGGAGAATGCATATAATCTTCTTCTTGGAGATCACTATTTAGAAAGGCATATTTTGATATCCATCTGAAGGAGCTTCCAAAATTTTTGCAGTGGCAATGGCCAATAAACTGCGAACAGAGGTAATTTGAGCAACTGGAGCAAATGTTTCTTCATAATCAATACCATATTCTTAGCTATAATCTTTGGCCACTAAACGTACTTTGTAACGCTCAACAGATCCATCTAAACGAGTTTTTATTTTATAAACCCATTAACATCCGATAGGAGTTTTGCTATGAGGAAGATCAACAAAATCCCAAGTACGAGTTTTCTCTAAAGTTTGAAGTTCTTCATTCATGGCTTGTTACCAAAGAGGATCAGTACTAGCTTCAAGAAAAGAGCGAGGCTCATGCAAGGTCTCAATAGCAAAAAAATAATGATAATCATGAAGATGATGAGAGGTTTCTCTTACCCGAGTAGAACAACAATGATGGACATCAGGTACAATCTCAGCAATTGGACTAGTC